AAAAAATTTGTTCCCCCCCCCCCCCCCCCCCCCCCCCCCCACTGAACACTCTCCCATATAACCCCTCCTCCGCCCACCCTCAACACGCGTTCCCACCACACCCACGCCTCAACCAAGAACCCGATAAGACAACGAGAAGAGCACAGAAGAGAACACCACCCCGCCGCCGGAAGACACACAGCCTACTAGCCGAACGCACGCCCTTCCTAGGGACCACCCGTTTCACACTCACCACAGCCGCACCCCCTGGAAAGGGGCAAGGTTGAGGTCTATCGAGAACTCGTTGATGCGGCACCGAAGGACGGGGCCGGTCAGGGCCCACTTCTCGAACTCCTTTTGGGTCAGCCCGGTGCCCCCCTGCGCCTGGCCGAATTCCGACACCGCCGCCACTGCGTATCTCTCCGCGTTCCGCTGCGCCATATCTCGGAGGAGCTCCGCCAGCGCTTCCGGGTCGCTGCTAACCCTGGCGCTGCTGCCTCGCCTGCTGCTGCTGCTGCTGCTGCTGCTGCTGCTGCCTCCTCCCCCGCCGCACGCCTCCTTTCTTCCTTCCCCACTATTTCTAAGGCTGTCCTGGTTAGACGGGAGCCCACCCTCCCCCCCATTTCGGGGTGATTTTTCCGCCCCTCTTCTGCACTCTCCACCACCACACAAGCCGCCGTCGTTCTCGCCGCCTCCGGCTCCGGCTCCGGCTCCGGCTCCGGCTCCGGCTCCGGCTCCGGCTCCGCCGCTGCAGCCTTCGCCGTTGCAGCCCGTGCAGCACCAGCAGCAGCTGCAGCAAAACATGCCATCGCCGCCGGTGCCACCTCCGCCACCGCCGATAAGCCCCCCGCCGCTGAGGTGGCCGGTGGTCATGCCGCCCTTACCGTCCGTGGTGAAGCTCAAGAGGGCCGGGTAGGCCGCCGTCTGCGAGGCGCTGGCGAGGACGGCCGTGATGTCCTCGAGGGTGAGGTACTTGCTCCTTCGGGACGGCTTGACCTTGCCACTGCCACCACCGCCGCCGCCGCCGCCGGTGCCGTTGCCGCCGCTCAAGCTGCTGCTGCCTCCGCTCGATTGGCTCGACTTCCGTCGCTCTTCGCTGGGCGCCACTCCCGACAGGTCGTAGGCGGAGTATAGGAGCTTCAGCCTCTCCTTCTCTGGTCCCTGATCAAGGTGGACACGAAAAAAGCGGGGAAGGTTAACGGCTGGGAGAAGTCGGGTGGGAACAAACAACAAAAGTCGGAGGAGGGAAAGAAACAACGAGAGGGTCGAGCGGGAGAAGAACTACAAGTTGCGTTCTAACATCTCGGCTGAGAGAGCATGGGGTGCGTGTGTCGGGATCGGATCGGTTCTTGGCGTGGAGATGTTGGCGACCGGTGTCAGAAGCACGACAAACCCAACTCTCTCCCGGCGCCATTCTTTCTCCAACTTGACCTACAGGTTGTGCTGAGTCATTCGCAGACCTTCTCAATGCCAAGAAGGCAGGCAGGCCCGCGCATTGTTGGGTGTGGGCTAGAAGGCCGACCAGGAGGAGAAACGCGGGGGCGAGATTATCGTTTGGGAAGAGGTTCTCATCTGGTTCTCATACACAAAACACTTCAGGGAGCTCGGAGGAGAACATCCGCGTTGTCTGGGAACGAAAGGGAGGACACGGGCAAGCCCAACTCGCAAACAACGGCGAAGAAAGGACGTGGCAGGAAAGGACGCCGGCACCCTAACCTCGCCCCGCACACCCATCCACTGGCACGGCAAGATGAATACCGCATACCCCTACATACTGTAACAGCAGTGGCAAGAGGTCCAGTCGGGGGGTGATTCACACGAAGGAAACACTTGAGACAGGGCGAGAGACTAACGGACACACAGAAACACGAACCGATCGAGGGGGAGGGGTGCTTACGACTTGATCGAATGCAGTGGTTGTGGAAAATTCCTGGATACACCCCCAGAGTTGACAGTATATAGCCCGAGAAACCGCTGGTGGGTAGATTGGTGGGTCGCGGCAAGCCGCGGCGCTGGGTTACTGCGCAGGGCTGCACCTACCCGAGGAATGTTCCGACAACTATATTCCGACATGGAGATCATCAGATTCCACCAAGCCGTTCAGCACTACTGGGAGAAGGAGCTGCACCGACCCCCGAACTATCCATGGCAAGCTCCAAGGGCCGTGCGTGCTAGCCGTCGCACATAAGAGCACACACTTATTCATCAGTGCCCAGAGCCTTCAACTGCCACTGGGGTGGACCGGCTTGGGCATGGCACCGGCATCAAAATGCATTCCATTCCATCACAAACGCGGAAGGAAGAACATACATACGCGTATGATTCGTGCCACTGACGGGTGCCGGACTGGAGGCGGTCTTGTGGTGGTCGCGGGCGGTGCTGTTTTCTGCGTCTCCCCCTTTAGGTAGACTCCGGTTTAAAATCCCTACACTGCTGTTTGTCCCGAACCGGTGGTCTAGTGCGCACGGTAACCTCGTAAGCCTGCATCATGCCAGGTACCAGTAGTATCTGCAGGCCGTGGGAAGCAGGCCCTGGGTTCCACTCTCTCGTGGGAGCGGACAATTTTGTCAACTCTGCGGCGAATTAGCGGTGTACTCGTGAATGAATACACAAAAAGGGACCGCCCTTCTCGCGAAAAAATCGAAGGGCGGGCGGAGGTACATGAAGCAGCAGGGTAACAACAATAAAGAAGAGAAGAATGTCCGGGCTGGGGAACGCTGCTCCTGACACACATGAAGGTTATACAGAAAGGCGCACGTAGAACTGGTGCCGTAGCAGGTGGGGGACAAAAACCACACCTACCCATTACTTGCAACGGCGGCAAACAATCGATTCCTTCCGACAGGGTGCGAACGGATGCAAACTCGTGTGCGGGGGATGGTTTGGATAGTATACTCTAACCAACCAAATCTTGTGCCAAGACCCGGCCGGGAACAAAATTCAACAGTATTGGGGTAAATAGCCCAATGGTCGTCGCACCGTCAGCACACACCGCGTCCTCGCGGCAATTTCGGGGCGATACATACATAAAAAAAGTTGGGTAAGACCCTTCAATAACCTTCGGCCACGTGTCCCTTTTGGGCTACTTGATGGAAGCGCCTTGCTATGCGACTCCTTGCGGCGGTATACTACCGCCTCCAGCTAAAACTACATGAAGTAACACGCCTGTGATAGGAGGCCTATCTGAAATCGCCGCGGCACATGGCGGTCGGCTATGTATGTTATGTCCGCCCAAGGACTACAAGGCGAGCCGGGTGCAACAGAGAGGGAAGCCCCGTAGGTACACGGCGGCGGTGTAGGCACAGAAGTGTTGAGTCCCCTGCGATCCTTCCTCCATGGTATACAGCGAGATTCTGTCTGCAAGTTGAACAGCAAGTGCAAGGTAAAGTCGCGTCCCCACCGTCCTGCTACTGCTGTATCCTAGAATACTCTCTGCTACTCCTCTGCCGCCGTTGCTGGTTCGTTGTTGTTGTTGTTGGTGTTGTCTTCACCTCAAAAAAACGTTCCGTTCTCCGCTCACTACTGATGTCCATACTGGTGCAGCTGACTGCATGTACCATGTATGAAGTATCCAAAATCGATACAAGGTGATTTCCAGGCCGATTTCTAGGCGAGGAGAGCAGCGGCTTCATACATATATGTTACGGGGAGGACTGGATGGTGAAACGCATTGTTGCCCCTGGGGACCGCTCGACTCCTACTCCACACAGGGAATGAAAGAAGGCGCCAAATCTACCCACAAGGCTACGGCCCCGTGCTGCTATGTCGGCGTACAGATGTCACGGGAGGATGCCGGGTGTAGTGCCTTTTGAAGAGGCGGCAGCGGTCAGTCGGTTCAAAGAGACCGGTCGCAATCTTGTCACATTAGAAGGGAAGCTTCTTGGGTTGTCATCACAGGCGCGAGGCAACAACAACACAACAACCTTTTGGACGCTGCTGCTGCTGCTGCTGCTGCTTCACGTAGATGAAAGCGCCGGCGGGCGTTTTTTTGCATGACTACTGATGCTTACCCGTGGAGTTTACAAAACAACTGAGTGCCTCAGGACAGCAGGTGCATCTATCTCTCTGTACAATTGCTTGGACAACCGCCCGCTAAAAAATGAACCAACAACTTTCACCGAAAAACACCACCACGCCATAAATGCACATACCTTGAGCAGCTTGCTTAGCCCGAGCACGAAGGTCTCGAAGTCCAGGAACCCAACGCCGCTAGCGTCGAGGACATCGAAGAGCCGTGACCCGAAGGCGCCGACCACCTCAGACAAACGAAACGCGTCGCTCGACTCGCACAGCGACAGGAACTGCGCCTTGCTCATCGCCGAGCCCGGCGCGCCGCCGTACGACGGAGCTCGGCCGCCCCCTTTGATGGCCTCCACGCTGCAGACGGGCGCCGCCTGGGACGCGGCGCCGAGCAGGTCGTGGTATTGAAGTTCACCAGGCTGCTCCTGCTGCTGCTGTGACGACGCTCGCAGAGCTGCTTGGAATTGCTTGAAGAGCGAGCGAAGTTCAGCGAAGCTGAAGAGAGACCGTGATCTGAGCCAGACCCATCGCACCTCGCCCGAAACCGCGGCGCACTTGGCTAGCTCCTCCGACCGAATCTCCCCGCTCAGGCTAGCCTGCTTGCTCGCGTGGCAGCCCATTTGCGCTACTCGGGAACTTCAGGCCTCTTTTACTTTTTCACGGAATTTCGGGGAGGCGGGGTATCGGAAGGAGGCAACCCAGCGAGAAACACCTGGATCCTCCACCAGCAGTTGCAGTTTGTTGGGTGCGAGAAGCTAGCTGATCTGTCGCCGCCGCCGACGGCGCGACACTCCTAACTAGGCCTCGTGTGGTCTCGTTAGGAGGTCCTTCTCTCCCTCTCGCTGCAGTGGTAGTCGTAGGTCTCCCCGTATGGTATGCGTTGTGTGTTTTGGTTGACTATCGTAGAGGTGTGAGTGGTGAGTGTAGTAAATAGGAGAGACAGACAGCAGCCTCGGAGACATCGGAGAGAGGAGGACATGACGTCATCTCCTGGAAAAATATTTTATGAAGGTTCGATGACGTCATGCAAGTATCAGTTCATATGCAGGTGTCTTGCAGTTTGTTGGCTCGGGAACTGCTGTGAGCTGTGAGCATACTTGTACCAAGTACCAAGTCACATGACCATCCGAAATCCGAACATCCGTCCGAACCAACAATGATCCGAACCACAGGAGAACCAAGATAGGAGACGGTTTGTTTCGTTGTTTCTCTCCCTTTATCTCCCTTCGCCCATCCCCAGCAAGACGTTTCCCCAATATTCTCTGTTCTCTCTGTGCTTCCCCGCTTCGGTCATCATTCATCAGCACTTATTTGTGTTCTTCCCAGGCGGCCCTGCCCTGGCGGTGGCACGGGGAACAACTTCTCTCCTTGTACATAAATTCCAAGATAACGCCGGGGGCGGGGGGTGAGTTGTATTTTGTGTTGGGCCGCACGTCATCATGACGAGTGATGATGCTTCTGAGGAAGTAGTTTCGGTGGAGGTCTTGTCGGTTGGCATGGTGCTTCTGGCCGTGCTGCTGCTGCTGCTGCTGCTGCTGCTGGCGGGATGGGGGGGTGGTGGTGGCTCGCCTATCAGAAAAGCATCTCGGGCACCGGGGTCGTTATCGTCACGCCGCACGAGCAGCACAGGCACCACCAGCACCATCACCCATGGTTGTTCGACTGCCGCCGCGCTCGAGGAGCGAGCGGAAGAGCTTGAGGCGGCAGGAGACTTGGACGGAACAATGGAGGCTCTTCTCGCCTCGCATGACCAAGGCTCCTCGAGGGCCGTTACGCTGGCGCACGAGCTGTCCCAGCGACATCCCGCGGGACTGTTCGGAGCGAATAGATGCCCGCTGAGTGTTCGGTCTCCTCGGCGGAAGGTAGGTGCTGGCGTTGAAGCTGGCACTTCAGCCGATCCCGAGGCTTCGTCCGCTGCTGTCGCTGGTGCCGATGCCGCGGCTGCTGCCGCCGTCTCTGTTATCGCCCCTGCCCCTGCGGCTGCTGCGGCTTCCCTAACTAGCGAGGTCCTTGCTGATGGCAACAACGGCGGTGCAACAGGCGAGCAGGAAAATCATTGTGTGCGATCACCACCATCCGGCGAAGAACGATCGCATCTTCCTCTTAGCGGTGAAAGCGCCAGCAGTGCGACAGCAGCAGGACCAGGAAGCCAGGCGGCCGCGACGACAACAACGGGGGCTCGGGAGCCTGGAAAAAGGATCGACCATGGTGGCGGCGAACCCACCACGACTACTCTGCTGCCTTGGGAGAGAGGCTGGCAGGGAAGAGAGGGCTTCAAGCCACCGCCGTCGTCGTCGGCACTCCCCGACAGGGGCTCGACCCCTAGTCGCGATGCCCCCGGAACGGCGGCGGCGTTCGGAGCTGGCTTGTCGCCGTCGTTTTCGTCGCTTACAGACACGGGCGGCCGGAGCGAAACTGCTTTGGACGGTGGAGACGCGGAGGCGACCAAGTTGGTGAGGCGGAACTTCACGGTGCGGCAGCTGAATGCTTTTGACGGGGGATGCTCGGCTCCGAGGATGAGGGGAGGGGAGGCCAGAGCAGTAAAGCAACGCCCCATCTACATCGCGCTGAAGGGGGAGGTATACGACGCGTCTGCGGGGAGACATCTTTACGGCCCGGTGAGTGGAGACTGTAAAGAAGCACGATGACCACAAGACTGTATTATTCAGCTGTAAAGAAGCACGATGACAACCAGACTACTAGTCAGCGCTGACTAGCTTCAGCAGTCTAGTGGTCATCGTGCTTGTAACAGACAAGCACCTCGTTTTTATGTTCAGCATGTTGGTGTGCGAGAACAGGACACGAGAAAAAAAATTCAAGGCACGCAACGCTGGAACTTTTTGAAAGATGTTAACCCCCTTTGGGTCTAGGGCTGGACTGTCAGATTTTTTTGTTTGCGCCAAAAAAAAAAAATGAGAGCGAGAGCGAGCGGGAGAGAGAGAAGTGCAGAGAAAGACACCAGTGTACTTCTGCACACGCAACAGCTATCTCCACCTGTAGGCCATGAGAGAAGCCGGCGACAGGGTGGTGGCCACAGACAGGGTCGTAAAAGGGTTGATAGGTGGTCGCGCTGCGGTCAGTAGGGCAGGTTAGCTGTGTAGACTTCGAAATGATCAATCGTCTAGCTGCCTCAACTAGTCTATTTTCGGTATATTGTAAATGATCAGTCCAGAGAGGGCAAAATGATCAGTGAAGACCCATAGCTGGTATTTGTACTTCTGTACTTCTCTGTTCTCTGTCCCCCCCCGAAATGTGCCCTGCCAGCTCTCTAGAGCTCCTGTGTTTTTCAAACAACAAGCACATCCACCAGCACACACCTGTACCTCGTGGTTTCCTAGGTTCGGGCGAGGGTGGTATGTGTGGCGCTACGAGTGTGGATGTGTTGCTGATATGTTTTACTCGTCTACAGCAGTAGTAGTAGTGTTGTTGCAGCGTTCGTTGTAGCTGCTGACACAATGACTGCTGGATCTTGGGAACGATTTTCAAATTGTTGGGAACCACGATATCCTTGATATCTGGGCTTCGGCAGGGATTGCAATACCCCTCCCTTTTGCTGCCCTCTGCTCTTTGCAGCAGTGACTTCCTACGTTCGGGCGAGTGTATGTGTGGTGCTGCGAAAGAACATATATATATGTATGTATGTATGTATGTATGCACACACGCGTTCATTGACATGTGCATACGTTGAGAGATTCATGATTTGGCATTGATTGGCCCCATTCCCATTCCCGAGACCTTGATATTACCCGCTGTCACTGAAGTCTCTTCATTGGTCAGCCGGTTAGCGCGGGTGCTAATAATCTAGACACACCTATGGACTTGCCAATACACGGCGCGAAGGGCTGCAGGGCGGCAACTCCACGACTTGCCACTACACCAGCATTTGCAAATGATCAATCAATGATCAGTGAGAACGCCTGAAGACTCAAAAGGGTTAACCTTAAGTCCTGACCTGTACGTGGTGTACAATGACCGGTGCTTCGAGCATCCGGTACGAGGTGTACGCAGTGTGCTCGAACCCAGGGCTCCTGGTTGTGCTGGCTCTTGTGACGATGCATAGCCTGCTACTGCGGTCGCATGCACGCCTCCGGCGATGGGTGGGCGCAATCTTGGTTGGCTTTCAGGCACGTGATGCCGGTGTGCGCACACATCGTTGGCTGATTTTAGAGAGGGCGCGACCGCCAAGACTACTTCTGTTCGCGGCATGGGGACTATGACGAGGCTCGGACAAAACAGCAGTCCTTGTATGTAGGCGCTTCAGTTCCTCAAGCGTGCAGCATGGTGTGCACCCAAGTCTCCCGTCATAAACAAACATGCTTTTCGAGATCTGTTGGTTTCTCTTGTTCCTCAGCGAAAATTAACTTCATCTCGCGGAAGAGTGGGCTTCCTTTGACCTGCTCGTGCTTGATTGCTGTTCCTGCTGCGGGCTTGGACGCTCGCCGCAGATTTGCAAAAAGAATCGCCCCAAGTCTTTGGGTTTGGTGTGGCACAAGTGCTCTCACAGCACAGCACAGCGGTGCTTCGCGCGTAGCACGTTCGACGGTGTACCGCAACCACTATTTATTGTTTTTGTTTTTTAGGAGCGTTGCTGCGAGCAGCAGCTCCTCGTGGTCACTCGTTGTCCAGGGTAGGGGTGCGTTGAAAGATATTCATTGACGTTCACGGCCCAACAGCATTTTTCTGGTCTGTTCGTCCGCACTGATGTGGCGCAAACTTGGGTATTCCTGACATGGGTCGTTTAAGCGTTGCATGACGCATCCACGGGAACACGGGTTGAATAGCACCTTTAAGAAACGGTAGGCACCATGTTGGAAAAATTAAAATGAATCCGTCGAACATAGATATGGTGTTTTCACGTAAAATGGGGGGAAACGGGCGAACCATGCTAACGGGAAAGCATGAGAAGGGGGCAAGGCCGCATTCAGAACAGACCTGACGCCAGGGGAAGAAACAGCGACCTGAAATTTTTGGCCAAGGTCGTTTTGTACTCTACCGTTCTAGGATTCAAAGATGTCTTCCCGAAAAATGGACGAGGTGCCTTGGGAGTGGTACCCGGCAGGAGGTGCTGTCACGTCCTGTTGGGGTATTGCAAAGGTTTGGAGCCGTGCGGTGCCGAATGTGACCTTAAATATGTTTCGTTGACCGTACCAAATCAGCTCCAGAGAGTCGTTGGTGTTATTTTCGTGTCCCAACGGCGGTCACGGTTATTGATCTTCGGCGTGTGACTTTTCGCAAGAGGAAGCAACAACAGTAGTGACAACTGGCCTACGACGTAAGTAGCTCTAAGGTCCATCTTTCGTTCATGTCCAAGGTTTGATACCAGGGGGGTCGTGCGTATTGCGGGAAAGAGTTGTGTTGCCCCTCAACGATCAACGTCCGGCATTTTGGACTCCCCCATGGTTTTGTTTTTTCGGCGATGATCTCTAGAATCAAGAAGCAACAACAACAGCAATGCTACTCCGAGGGAGGTAGCCCTGCAAATTTGTCTGCTGCCCATTTTTGAGGCGTTTGGTGTTCTACATTGTTTGACGATTGGGACAAAAAGGATGGCAGTTAACTCTGTTGCCCCCCCGCCCCCGCCCCCGCCCCCCCCCAACAGGGAGGAGAATACTCCGAGTTTGCCGGTCACGACATATCCAGAAGAGTAGCGCACGGTGCGTCACGTAGTGACAGATCCAGCAGCACCCTCTTGGACGACCTGTCTCTCGAAGGCTTGGGCCGCTTTGAGCAGATGACGTTGAGAGGCTGGGAGGACACGTTCAGGGCTCGCGGCTACCCGAGCTTGGGTAGGGTGGTCGCTCCGCCGCCCCCCCGCTTGTTCTCGCGCGCCGAGCTGCGGGCTTTCGACGGACGACCAGCTGATGTCGCGGCGTCCGAACACGGGGAAACGGAACGGGGAGCGGGGGCGGGGGGGGGAGAACGTGAGGTGGGAGGGGGAGAACCAGGAGAACAGGCCGCGGTGTTGGCGCGGCAAGAAGAACAACCTGCCGAGTCGCTGCCGCCAGAGCAGGAGGCGAAGGCGACGGCGAACGCTGTGTATTTTAGCAACTACGCCGCTCAGCCGATCTATATGGGCGTGAAGGACAAGGTGTTCGACGTTTCCTTCGGGGGCTCGGAGTTCTACCTGGAGGGCGGCCCGTACGAGTGCCTCGCGGGGAGAGACGCTTCACGCGGTAAGGGGCATCATGAGAATGCCGCGCTTGCTTGTTTTAGCAGGGGCCCGGATCCATCCCTGCTTTTTGTGGTCTGGTCGGCGGCGCCTGTATGCCACGAACAATTCACGCTACCCAAGTCTAGATATGCTCCAGTGCTCCTCCTCCCCTCCCCGCCTTCGAGATCTATTGTACTTGTATGGTCGAGAGAACCCGGCAATCATTTTCATGAACACACGCCTCCCGCCCTCTCTCTCTCCCGGCGCTTTTCTACAAATTGTATCCGTTGGTGCCTCCAGTACTGGCCAAGATGTCGATGGCGAGCGAGGACATCGAGGGTGTCTTGGACTATTCTTGTCTGACGGACCGGGAGGAAAAGAACCTCGCCGATTGGGTGGAGAAGCTCGGGGAGGGAGGCAAAGGGTATCCCGTCGTTGGCTGGATAGACCTTGGTTCGTATCAGGGCCAACGTTGAAGAGTGAACCGTGCGAGAAAGCGCGTTTTCACGCACCGTTTCCCTTTGTTGGATTGCCTTGTTGCTGTCTCTGCCGCATAGAGTGGTGAAAACATTGGACGCTGCCCCCACCCCCTCCGCCGCCGCCGCTGTTGCACTGCGCGCGTTATTTTTTTTCGTACCAGACGATTTGTTGTGTTTTCCCCCTTTCACGTTGAGTTGGGGTGTGGTCGTTCGCGTTGTGTATGGGGGAGCGATACTCTGGTTTGACGCCAAGTGGTGCTCCAGCATTGTATACCGTGGCACACAGCTCCGGCCGCGAAATCACCGCTACTGCTGTACTGCCGTGTGGGTCGGTGGGTTTTGTCCCGTTCACTACGTGGTGTCCTGTCGTGCTCGAAGGAGCAGGGCAGTCTACAGTGCCCACGTAGAAGATGCAAGTGCCCGCTACTTTCCTTTGCTGGCCATTTTTTTCGATCCTCACCAAGATGCTGATTTGGCCGACTTGGCCGACGTTAGGAAAACAATTCAAGGCGCTGCGGTACAGCAGTGTGTCCTTCTTCGATCTATCTACCGTTGACCTGGTTCCGGGGCTGCCTACGTGTAGTTTTCCAGTGCATGTCGGTGATTCCATCGACGCCACTGCAAGAGTTGTTGTGCCGTCCAAATTGCGGTAGTGTACGAGGGCATCGTGTTTGCTACAAGTAGGTTTCCGTGCAACGCCTGACGTTGATGTTGTTGCGCACGGCGGAGGGTTTCTTCTGCGTGGCCCGGTTCTCGGACCGGCGTGCGCACACCAGCGTTGTCGACTTGTATGTTTGCGGTCACCACAAGAGTTCAACAGTTGCTGGGTTTTGGTTGGAGGTAGACACGAAACCAAAGCAAAACTACTGTCAAGCAGGTTTCCCCAGCCCTCAGGCTACACCACGGGCGCTACTGCAATATTAGCCTAATTTGGTCTAGCCCATCCCCAAACCCTAACCCTAGCCCACACCCCAACCTTGGTCGATGTGCAGCGGGTAGACCTAGGTCGCTATACCGAGCTACTGGCGCGCGCTTCGCACGCGCAAACGTTGGTGTACGGACGCCGCGCGCCCGTTTTCTCGAGATTTGGTGCCGAACTTTGTCGTGACTAGACTGTATGATCCACTGCGAAATCTCAAAGTATGGTAAACTTTCTCCGCCGTAACACAGCAGCTTAACTTCGAAGTATTGTTAAGCAACGGTACCATCCTGAGTAGGCGCGTGAATGCGGTGCACGATACACTGGAGCGCACAACCCGCTTGCTAAGAAACTGAAACTATGTGCCCGCACATGAAAAGAGGCGTTTTTCTCGCTGGACTGGACTGTCGCTGCGTCACGCACGACGGCCCCTCCTCTTCAGGTACCTACCCCGACACCCGACCGACCGACCAGGCGTCCGCTGCGGCATCTCTTTCTGGCCTCAAGGGGGACCAGAGGCATCGCTGTCTACGCTTGATCGCTGTTTGGGGGCGCAATCCCATGTCGCCGTAGAGAAACACCAGGCACGGGACATGGGAGAAATCTTGAGACGTGTTCAAGTTTATCGCGTCTCTACGCCAGAGGAAGTGGCAGCGGTTTCCGCCGTTGGTCCGGCCGCGGCCGTGCCTCCCGCTTCTGAGCCAGCGGAACTGGTCACCATGAGGGTCGTGATCCTCCTAGGGGGAGTCGCAGTGGGCATAGGCATGTTTGCCATATTTTGGGCGTGGTGCTACGCCGAGCACAGGCTGTGGCAGTTAGAATCAGCAGCGGCACCGCCAGCGGGCGACGGCATCGACCAGCCGCTGCTGGCGGCGCACGAGGAGCAAGAGGAGTGCTGCAGCTGCCCTATGGACGCATTAGAGGCGCAGCAACAGCGGAGCGATGAGGCTGCCCGAGCTGCTTCTGTGGGCGCTCCTACGGATTCTACATCATCCGTTCCTTCGGTAGATTCTACATCTAGCCTTGCCCCCGCACCAGCAGCAGCAGCTGCTGCATCCAGTAGTAGAGAGGGGGAGGAGGAGGAGGTGACCGCAGCGGTGCAACCGATACGGCCGCTGCTACGAGACTTCACGATTGCGGAGCTCAACACCTTTGATGGTGGTGAATCACCCCTTTCTCGGAAGCCTCACCCGATATTTATCTCCCTGAGGGGCACCGTGTACGATGCGTCCAACGGGAGAGGGATCTACGGGCCGGTGAGAGTCCAAGTTGTGGTGACTGCCTGGTCTTGCGCATACGAGTGTTGAACTTCAGCAGTACCGCTGTACATACACCGCATTCTTTCATTCGTTCGTGACTTGTTTGAAGTCGCTGGTTTGTTCATGACTGGCACGGTGTTTTTTGTGCGTTGTAGCTCGCGCCGCGTCACGATGCTACAGATCAATCCCATGCAACCTCTGTACATGTACTTGAAGATGGACGTGGTGGTGGTGTCGCCTCCAGGGTGCTGTATTCCACTCGCTTTCTCTCCTTTCGAGGCGTCTGATTTCTATGTGTGTAGACACAGCAGTTGGATTTCCTTGGCCTCTTTGCAAACAACGTGGGTTGTTTTTCGCCATCATGTCGTAGCCCCACAACCACGGCTACCGCGGAACGTAAATCGTTGTTGAAGCCGCAGTAACAGAGTTTAATTGATGGGATTGTGCCCCCCCCCCCCCCCCCCCAGTTTCTCAACCAAAAGGGTGGCCGTTCAACAGTCTCTCTTTATTCCCAACTCTTGGGGGAACGGAAGCGGCCCTGTTCATTCCCCACAGCAAGAAGAAGGCCAATTCCTTGAAAAACACACCAGTACCAACCAGCCTTCCTCGTTTTCCAACCCCCGAACCCCCCCCAACGCCCGCAACTCCCGCAACCAGAGCGGTGAGTTGGCCGCCTTCCCCGGCCACGATGTATCAAGGGGGGTGGCCAGGGGGCTGGTGGCCTCGAAGGAAGACGGCAAGAGCGACCTGGATGACCTGTCGCTAACGGGACTGAACCGGATCGAGAGGATGACGCTGGCGGGCTGGGAGGAGAGGTTCAAGGCGTGCGGCTACCCCGTCGTCGGCAGGGTAGTGCTGCAGTAGTGTTTTTGTTGATACTCTCGTGTTTTACCACTGCTGTAGCCATCATAGAATCGCGCTGCGTTGGGCGAAAGAAAAGGGTTCTGAGAGCCGCTGTCCTGCACACACGCGCGGAGATTTCGCTGTATGGTGTTTACCAAGTGGGCAGAACGCCACATGTGTTGACTGAGCTGTATATCGCACCTCCCCGGTGGTGCTCCGCGTAGCCTGTAGCGACCGCCAACCCTTGCGGCTGGCTTAAGTTTAGTCAAATTGCCTCAGCGGTCATGGTACAATAGGTATCGTCGAGCCCTTGTAACTGCTTGGGGTTTGTTGTTTCGTGGGACATCGCTGCTGATAACAACACACGGAGAGGGTGGCAAAGTGTGTGAAATACCATACAGTACCAGCAACGGGGAGTGGATAGACCGGTGAGCTCGCCTCCGTCAAAGGGGAGGGCCAGTACAGTAGTAAACGGGGAGGGAGGTAGCCTCGGGGATATGGAGCATCTTGTGTATTTGGCTAGCATTCGGGGGAAAAATTGACAACTTTTTAACGTATCGTAACAAATTACTACACGGGGCGAGCCAGAGGCCTGTTTTCACGCACCCTTCGTGGCGACAGCAGCAGCTCCCCTCCCTGAGTGCTTTCCCTACTCGAGTATTCCCTTCATGCTGCAGCTGTTTTTGTTTGTGGCTCTTCTTGGCAAATCTTGTTGTTCAAGGCGCCACCTCTAAATTAAAGTAGGCTCTCCGGCCCGCCGCCAATGCGGAGGTGGCACATCTATACACGGGAGGCAAACCATGAATATACGACAACAAGGCACACAAAAATAGCGCACGCTCGTGTCTCTGCCAAGGGAGAACACTTGTTTGCACCGCATCCGGGGTTGCTCTTGGTTTCTAAATCTAAAGACTACCGCCGCCAGTTGCTTCGACATTTCGGTGGCGACGCGGGAACACGTGGATTTCTGTCCTCCAAGGCTGAGAGGCCTGTTCGGTTGTCTGTAACAAACAGCGTCGCCGAGCTCATCCATCCTTTCGAGCAAGCACGGGGGAATTCCTCCAAGCTTCGGGGGCACATTTAGGGGCTCATGCAGTCTTCCCAATCCACAAAAATGACGGCACAGACGAGGGGTTCTCGCCTCGCGATGTCGCGCGCGGATGCTTCACTTATACGTGCACGATGAAACGGCTTGATTGTCGCTCCACACGCCTGTCCGGACCTCGCGGGCGGACCAGGCGATCAAACTGAGTCAAACAAAGAAATTCTTCCTTCCAGTGCTAATAGCGGACGCCATGTGGAACCGCGTGCGCAAATGCTACCGAAGCGCACACCACAGCTTCCCACGAGCACCGCCCTTTGTCAACGGACACCTCCAATCAATATTTTCTACGGTACACCAACATATCACATCGTCGATCACCGCCGTTCACCGCGGCTGCTGCCGCTGCGGCCGCTCCATCCGCGCGGCTCAGCACCAGCAACCGGGCCGTTGTAGCCTCGGTCCTCTCTAACCGCGGCGACGACGTCCCGGGCCAGAGCACTCGTCGCTCCCAAGGCTGTTCTCGCTCCCGATCCGCCCACCCCGGCCACCAACACGGCTTCCCGCCCGCTCCCTATGCCCCGCCCAGTCGCCAGTCTCAGAAGCGCCGTCCAAAGCGGACCCCGCCGAAGCGTGCCGTAGAAGGGCTGGCCTAACGTCGACACCGCGGAGAGCAGGAGGCGAAGGATGCGGATCCGTGGGCGCTCGTCCTCGGCCGGGCAGGCGAGAAAGTCGGCCAATTGGCGGAACACCCGGGCCTGCGGGGCTGCCGCCGCCGCCGCCGCCGCATGTCCGGAAGCGAGAGAGGGGAGCGGTTCGCCGCCGGAGACGCTGCTGGTAGGCCGAATGGTATACGTGAGCAGTAGCGACCGAAGGAGGCTTTCGCCGAACATCTGCGAAAAAATAATATTTTCGAAGCGGGTCCCGCCCCGAGAGGCACCGGGGACGTCGTGGATTGGGCAACAGAACAAATTCGGTCGCTCGAAGGTGAGGTTTCAAGGTGATGGTGTCCAGTGTTGTTGTCCAGGTAAGCAAGAGCGGTCAGGGGTGGGTCTGAGGGTAGTCTCGGAAAGAAGATAGGTAGTTAGATGTCCGTCGTTTAGTCAAAACGCCGGCTGCCAGGCAGCCTTACCGCACACGAAACGTGTGCTTGAGAGTGTCCATCGTGCGTCAGGGAAACGGAGTCTGTGCAGAGAAGGCACACACGTCACCATTCTCCTTCAAAGAAATGTCTATCGGCGAGCGGAAGAGTTGCGTGAAAGGCGAACCAAACAGACTATGGGAAACGAGCTATTGTCGGTGCAAACGTCGATACGCTGACAAAATCAGGTGCTGGAAACTATTTTTTCACAAGCTTTGCAAGTGCATATGTATCACTATTTTGTGTACATCATTTCAGCGAGAACACAAACAGCAAACGACCACACGAAAACACACACGGGCGACGTATGGCCAACTGGTCCACCAAAACAACGACCCTCACCTTGTAACACATCTCCAAGAACAAGGTCGCCGAGTCCGAAACACCCGACCGAACGCCGTCGTCGACACCGCCGAGCGCTCCCCCCGGCCCTTCTCGACCCCTTACCGGTGCTCCCGCCAGTTGATGCTCTCGCCGCTTCTCCGCCAGGGCGCCCTGAACGCAGAACAGGTTCACAGTCTCCACCGCCAAAGGAACGGCGGCAAGCAGCGGCCTCAGCTGCTGCTCCTCCCACTGCTCACCAGCAGTAACAGCAGCGGCGCCAGTGCCAGCGCCTCTACAAGTGGATGCCGCCGCCGCCCTCTCGGTGCCGCTCACGGGACCCAACAAGGCTTCCGCAGCTGCTTTGCGACGTGCTCCGGCGTCCAGCAACGCGACGGCGAGGCCGAGACACGCGTCCGCGACCTCCGGCGCCCCGGCTTTCACCGCGGCCGCCACCGCCGCCGCCGTCCGCCGCGGCAGCTCAAGGCCCAGGAGAGCGACAAATACGTCGTCGTTCTCGCCGCCGTGGTAGCTGTCGTCGCCGTCGTAGTGAACAGTACCGGCCACGTGTTGGCGATGCCGCCGGTCGCTCGGCAAACCCCGCCCGGGTCCTGCCCCCGTTGTCCCCGCCCCGTCGTCGACGAGGAGCGAGAGGAGGCAGGCCAGAGCGGGATCGAGGGTCGTCACAGCGGCGGCATCTCCAGGGGGCTCGTGCCCAGTCCGCGTGCCCCCCCTCGGTGACAGAGCAGCTGGCAGCGGTGTCCCGGAAAGACGGTCTAGGAGGGCAGCGGCGACGGGGGCGGCGGCGGCGGCGTCATCGCGACCGGAACACAGCAGAGCCATTCCGAGCCCTCCCCACGCCCGACCGACGTCGAGGAGGAGCCGGATGGTGTACTGCGGGATGGGGTCGTGGTCGCCCAGGAGGCTCGGCGCGTGCGGCAGGAGGTGGTCGGCAAACGCGGACCGCACCAGGTCTTCCGCCGCTACCGGCGAAGGGGAAGAAGAAGAAGAAGAAGGCCGCCACCCCGCGGTTTCGGCAGGCCCGCCGAGACGCTGCTGCTGCGGCCTGGCGGGCGGTGGCAGCGGCGGTGGTGTGCCCGACTGCTGCTGCTGCTGTTGTGGTCGAACAAGCGGCGGAAGCAGGACGCGGAAGATGGCCACCACGAGAGCGCGCGTGTCGCCGCTGGGGCTCCTCAAAAACCGGCAGAGCACAGGGATGAGCTCCGCGGACACCACGCCCCGGTGGGGCACAAGAACCAGCTCGGCCTGCTGAGCGAGGGTCTCAACCGTGGGGAGAAGGGCCGCCAGCACGACCGACCCTGCCGAACCGTCGCCGCCGCCGCCGCCGCTCCAGGGACCACCCGCTGCCGGTGACACGGCTCTTCTGTCGCTGCTGCGGCCACTGCTACCGCCGCCGCCGCTGTTGCCTCTGCCCGTGCCCGCTGCCGCTACCCCCAGAGCTGGGCACGAGAGGGCTAGGCAGCCGGCCACGTCGCTCACGAACGGCCGCGTGACGGCCCGCTCGCGCAACAGGGGGCTGTTCACGAGGTGGACAACCGCCTGGAACATCCCCATCGCAGCCTCCAACTCGGCGGTCCCTGCCGCTGATGCCTGCTGCCTGGCACCAAACCGCCGCGGAGGAGCGCCGCCACCGCTCCTGTGGCCGCCGCTCCGATCCGGCTGGCGCCCCCACCTCCCCGTAGCATCGCAACCGTCCCTCGCCGTCGTCGCTGACACGCCGTCTCCCCCGGCGGAAACCCCGCGGCGTTGTAGGAGCTCCGTCGCGAGGCGCCTCGCTGCCGTTTCGGGTACCGCGCAGAGCCACTCCGCGAGCAGGGTGGAGCACTCGTAGAGGTACTCCTGCTGTGGGGAGAGTTCCGGTATACCCGCGGCGGAGGCAGAAGCGGGCTCGGCGGGGCCGCGAGGAGCTGACCGAGGAGCCAGGCCGCCGATCGCTCTCGCGAGAAGCGGCAGCAGGCGCGACCGGCACGCCTTCAGGAGAAAGCCAGGATCGGCCGCCTCCTCCAGCGCGAGTCGGAGCGAGAGGAAACCCTTCGCTCGGAGGACCGCGCCCTCGCCGTGCTCCGCGACCCGCAGCAGCCTTAGCAGGAGGTGCTGCGAGTCCAACATGCACTCCACCGCGCGTCGGAGGAAGAGGGGGGCGTTCCGCCGCCCCCCGCCAGCAAACTCGTCGTCCTCCGGCCCACGCCCGCCGACGGACCGGCCGCCGCCACAGTTACCGCTGGCCCAGACAACGAGGTTGAACATCCCGAGAAAGGCTCGCCGGGACGTGGCAGAGCTACCTTCCGCTGACAGCCCCTGGACGATGAACTCGGGCGCGCCGGGCTCGCGCATCACTCGGGAGGCCACACAACCGGCGGCTGGCACGTCGTCCCCTGCCCTGTCGCTCCTTCTTCGCCCTGTGCCTCTTCTCGCTCCTCGACCTGCGCTCTCGCTGCCGATGCCTCTGCTAGCTTCGATCTCGTCATCGTCGTCGTCGTCGCCGCGGTCTTGGCTGAACTCTCCGCCCAAGATATCGTGCCCGAAAACGTGGTACAGCGCCGCCGTTGCCGTGCGCCGAAGATTCTCGGAGGAGGCATGCCTGCGAAAAGAAAGAACACGCGAACGGGTGGGGGAGAGGTCAGTTCTCGGCGGTGGGACGTGAATTCGAGCGGACAGAACGGACGAAAAAAACTCTGCTGAGCCTTTGGAACCTAAAAAGGCTGCGAGGCAGCAAGCGGGGGTACTTTGCATCTCGAACCTTGCACCCATTGCCAGTGTTACAGGATGTGAACAGGATTTGGAGCCAGAATCGCTGAGGGTATGTGTACGGTCGGGGGTCGCTCTTGAAAGCGCTTGGGCGTAAAATCGTTACCCTGCTGACATATTCGAATTGCACAACTGTTGGAACCACATCGGGGAAACGCTTGTCCTGTTCTATCCACAAAACACGACCATTTGTCTCTTCCGTTCCCGTCAACCTCGAAAGAACGCGACGAGTTGGGGGAAATCTTGAGACTTATCCATCGCACATTAACAACCGGTGCTGCCATCATTTCAAACCTCCCTGCGCTGCGAGGCCCTTCAAAACTTACACCAAAACACCCGCGCTGACAAGAGAGCACACATCGGTGCTTTTCCAAGAAGAGGGGCGGAAGTCTTCAAGGTCACAGCACACCCGGCCGGAAAAGCACGACCCACGAGGAGAGTCATACGAGAGAGTGCTACAGCAGTGTTGGGGCCCGGTTGGTGGCCAAGGGACATGCGCCCAAGTGTTTTCGTACTGAGAGCCGCGTCAAGGTGCCGCAAAAGGCTGGTGCCGTACACAGGATGTCAAACGCTCGTGTCGTGTCGTGTCGTGGAGAGCCCCTCGTCCTCCTCGCAACCGAGAACGGGAGCAAGATATACAAAAAACAAAATTAAATCACAGAGCAGCGGCAGAAAACCAATAAAACTCACCTAGCAAGGTCCAGCAAGCCCAGCGCCAGCTCCGGCGTGACCAGGGCGGGCACGAGGGGGTGCGAAGGCCCCACCTGCGCGAGCACGTTCTCCATGGTCTTGGCCGCGTAGTGTCGAGCCCCTTCGTGGCCGGCGAGCCGGCCGCCGCCGCCGCCACCGCCACCGCTGCCGCTGGCGTCGTCCACGACCAGCAGGCACTTCCCGATCACGCCCGCCACGGCGGCGACTGGAATGTTCCACCTCTCCGTCTCCATCCCGCCGCCGCCGCCGCCGGTACCGACGGGCTCTTGCGTAACGATGTAAAACAGGAGCTCCCCGAGCGCGGCCACCGCGTTTCGTCTCAGCGCGGCCGCCGCCTGCGCCGCGCGGCCGGGGCCGGCCGGCCCCTCGCCCGCCGTTGCGATCAGCGCGGACATGAACCCTCCTGCCCCCGAGGCTTACGAGCATGCTCTCGGGATGTACTCCACCGGTGCTGCCCATGCGCCCTAGGCACATCTCCAGCAAAAGAACACTCTTGTGAGTGAAAGATGACAACAAGCGCGAGAAGGAAGCGATCACGCCCCCAGCCAACCGGCGACAGACTAAAAACAAAACACACACACACACCCGCTACGTGCCCCGAACATACACACGCCAGCATAACTCGGCTAAATAACTTACGGCAGCAGCAGGATACCCAGCGAGGACCGAGCCACCTATCCCCTGTTGGTGTTGATGTTGTGCCAACC